GCCGCCAGGCGGACCCGCCGTCACGTGCTGCGAGGCGGACGGGCACTTTGATCTTCAACCAGGCCTTCTGCAAGAAGGAAACCACGTTCAAAGACTCCCACTCTCTTCCCCTGTAAAACTAATTCGACTAAGCTACGTTTAAAATATAGTCCAGGATGCTCAGCCCAGTGGAGCCTGAATGGTGTCGTCTTCTGAGCGTACAACGGCATCTTTCACCCAAATCACTTCCCCATCTAAGCTCTAAATTAAAAAAAATATATATAATAAATTAAAACAGCATCTGCCATGTCCGTGCCGAGCGCCGTGGCCGGGTCTAGGTTGCGCTGCAGACGTGTTTGCTTGACGGGCCCCAGCTGCTCACCGAGCTCAACCTAACAAGGAACTACACACAACATCGCCGCGTCGCTGGCTTACGCTTCACGGGACCGAGGCAGCTCTGGAATATCACGACTGAAGCGTTGTGGCATTTTAATGCATCTGCGGTGTTAGTTATTTATCCCTCTCTGATCACTTTTTCTCTCTTCTCTCCAGGGTCCAGTCGCTAGCGAGCTTTCCCTGATGTCCCACCTTATTCCAGTCAGTCTGCTGTAGTTTGCTTTAGCCTGCCGAGCCAAGTCCTTGCGACGGGTAAGCTCCGACAGCGCCAGCACCCAAACGGGGGACGGCCAGCGACAGGCTAAGGCACCACAGGGCTGTAGCCGGGTGCAAAGGTGGTAGGCACCAGCTTCAACACGCACCTACTGGGGCCACTCTCCGAGACGCTTCTCATCTCTGCTGGTGGCTCAGGGCTTCTAGAAACAAGACCTCGCGTGCACACCATGACTAGCAGGTGAAGGAAGCCCTCCAGACCACTGAACGCGGACTTCAGTGGCTCACACAGTCACTCGGAGTCAGCAGGATGCAGAGACGTAACCCAAGAGCTTTGAGTTTAAGTTCTCTTGCTTTTGTCCTTGATGCGCCCACCCAAATTGTTATGCATGTTACGGTATTTTTGGTGACATCCATTTAAAAGTAGGCTAGATAATTTAAGTGGGGGTGGGTCACAAGGAATTTAAGACAGTGTGTTGAAGGCACTGCTGTGATGAAGGGCTCGGTTGCTGCTGGCACAGAATGGCCGCCCTTGGCGTCCCTGTTCTGTCACAGCACCGAGACCCCGCGGGGAAGGATTGCCATCCTACACATTCAAACCCAGATTCATTATTTGGATAAATCTCCCTCCCATGACATACTCTGCCCAGGACGCTTCCCACCAGCAGCACGGCTCTGGTCATGGCTTTGTTCCTCAATGCTGGGTTCTCATGGTGGCTCCTGATGCAGCTGTAGACTATTGCAAGCTGGTTCCCACCAAGGCTTCAGCAGTTTCGTTGTGCCCATCTCCTCTGTCTTCTTTCAAAGATGGATTCATCCTGTACGGCAAAGCATGGACCATGATGTCCATCCACCTCCTCTGTGCTTTGGTGGGCTGCAGCACTGTGGTGCTCAAACAGTGGGGCTCATGCAGAGACAAGCTTGCTTATATGGCAGGCTCTTGTCTACGGGTTTTTAATAAAGGCTTTCAAAGCGGAGAAGCGTTTGATTAGCACCTTGCTCCCCCTTGGAGTGGGTGCTTTGATAGCTCATGAGCAGAAGATTAAATGGAATTATTTAAGCAGTAACAGCAGACAGAGAGATCCCAGAAAATGACGTCTCCCACTTTGATGTTGAAATACCTGAAACAAAGTGAACTGGAGAATCAAAACACTGAGCTGCGTTTCTCCCAGCCAGTTGTGCATGAAGAAGGGGGCAACGAGAGGGATGTGCAATCATTTCATCTAAGGCAAAGTCACTGCTCCCTCCCGACCAAACCTCGAGTCCAGTTTGCTGTGAGCACAAAGAGAATTCCATGTGGAGATCTGAAGCTTCCCGTTCCCGAAGGAGTAACTGAAAAGTCAGATGCGAACAGGGCAGCAGATTACAAGGGCTTTGCCCAAGGGGATATGTAGCTTCATTCCATATAATTGCCTGTGAAGATCTATAATTCATGTCAACCACCCTAAG